CGAACCCTAGAAGTGCAACAGCACGTGAATATCTCGAATGCATAAAATATCTTGAGAACATATAATATATTTTCATTTCAGAAGGCCTTCTGAAATGAGTTAGATTGAAAAGTTTTAGCGGACCCTATCACGGAGTTTTTGCTTCACTTTCATCTAGCAATATTTCCTGGAAATCAGATCCCACGCAGAAGAGACTGGGGGCAAGATCCAACCGGTTATCAAATATATTTCCAGGAATGGCATACATTCCTAGGAAGTTCGCTCGCATTTTGCGAAGAAAATATCGATTTTCGGACGCGCTACAAGTTGACAAACCGGCAGATGCAGCGTCTCTCGGTCTCGGGAATTCAAACGGGGATAACAGAATCTGCCTGGAATCTAATTAAATATGCACACCAGGAGAGGGCTCGAGAGTTTAATCATAGGAATTGTGTCAACTCGCGGTGGATGTTTGAGAGACTCGCAAGTAAACTTGTATGGTTTCGACTAATAATTGATAGAAAACATGACTTCATAACCCGGACCCGGATATCTTCATAACCCAGACTCAGTCCAGATCCTTCGCAGCAACGAGATGCGAATGAAGCAAAATTATTCTATTTTTAGAATTCTCCGCGAATCGTGCATCCCAGGGGCATTCGACGGCATCCGCGACTCCCCGAGCAGATTATTATTTCCATGCGCTTCACTTCCTATCACGGCTTTGCTAGTCTTTGTTAGCCCAGTCCAGCCCAGTCCAGTCCAGTCCAGTCCAGTTGAAAGTCCAGTCTTTGTTAGCCCTTTCATGCGCGGTACTCGCTGACAGAAACAAGAAAATGAAAAACAAAATGCATTCAGTAGGGCTGAAAAACGGAATTAACTTAATGTTAATCATGTGAAAACATTAATATAATGTATTATCATTATTATTCATAATTAGTAACTATTATTAATTATATATTCGATGGAAAAATTAAACATGGTCATAATTTGCGTATTTTAAATAAATAAAATATGTTTGAATAATATTAATATTATTTATTATAATTAGTAATAATCAAACTTGTCAACAAAAGAAAATATTCAAATGTAACAAAAAAGTTATCTTACCGTTTCAGAAAAAAAGAAGAAACTGGAAAAATTGCCTTTCTGAACGAGCGCTTTGAGGCGCAGGAGAGAGGCATAACTTAATACTGAAATTGGTGAACAAAGAAAACTTTCAGGCGCCACCAGGGATAAACTTTTTTTTGGCTTCAGAATCCTTCTACTAGATGGCTGCATCAATACTAAAAGGGACAAATGATTCCCAATGTGTCTTACGCTCACTTTCACAGGGACGTATACCTGCCGCTGTGCTTTAAAGGGTTCAGATCGAGCAGGGAACGTGGTATCTTCGCCCTGGCTCCACTTTAAACGCCTCCGAGCACAAAATAAACCGACTGTCGATGTAACAAAAGGCGGAAGCTTCGATTGCGGAAGCGAAGTGTCTCTTCCAGATTCTCGGTATCTCAAGTTCGAGGGATGCCTTCAACGCAAAACTTGAAACGAGCGACGGCGCCCACGCAAGGAGGATTTTATCGACGCAAAGCGGATTTCGTATTCGACCCCTCACAATTCACGTCATGAACAGAAGTATCACTTGTTCGAGATTTATTATTGTGCATCCCTTCATACCTTCTCTTCTTCACCGTCCGACCGACCCGACCGAGTTTGCAGGCTTCCCATCGTAGTCGTCACGTTCCAATTCAGTTCACTTTCAAAATGGAAATTTCAATCCTTGCTCGATTAAGGATTTTTGTTTCCCGAAAATTGTTTCACTACGGCCCAGAATTCGCAAAATATGGCGAACATTTTATTAACTACTTAGCAACACCGAAAAAGATTTGAGCGATGTCGACGAAATGCGGCACACTCAACTCCCAGCAGAGTGATACGAAACTGATCAGCATTCGAAGGTCGTCGAATGATTTCTTGCAGAGAAAAACCGGCCAACACCGTGAATGGGGGAGTTCCACTAACTGCCGAAACCAAGTACTCGAGAAGAGCTGACTAATGAAATCTGGAACAGGAACTTCTAACGAACGAATAGGAATCATCGAGCGAAGTTCAAAGGTCACAGAACCGGCCTACGATAATAAAAGTTGCCGAATGAGGAAAGGAGCTTGATTGCCCGATTGCCTCCACCCACTCCGCTACGATGCAGTTGGCACGTGCTTAACTGTGAGACCGAGACGAAGTCTCTCGGAGGCAATGTCTCCGGTTTCATCCGGATCTGTCAGTCGGGGTGATGGAGGGTCCATGCCTGTATGCTAAGGCCTGCTTTTGGGTCATCGGCAGCAGTGATTAGTAGGAATACCCTTTTGCATCAAGGCGTTGGTCGAGCTCTCTCCGCGAAGAATCATTCTCATGGATCTCATGACACTAATCAATGATATAACGCGCCGCCGGGAGCTCTGGTGCCAAATTTCATCAATATCGCTCAGACTTATCTCGGCGTCTCTTTTTCTTCCGGCGATGAGTACGTTTCTTTGATAAGCGGACCCGGATCGAAGAAATGCCGGAACCGACATGGACGTGAGACAAAAATAAATCAAAATGCAAAATCGATGCAGGATCCTTTGGGCTGCCGTTCGCCCAGTCGACCGTGAAAAACCGATTGTCACTGCCGTTGAAAATCACACAGCCGAGGATGCGGAAGAGGAGATCGAATGACGGCAAACGCTCCTCGAAATGAGAATGAAAGAACTTGAGGTATCAGACGCGGCCGACGTGGGCTCAATTTGCAGGAATTTGCGACGAAGCGGGAAAAGTATGACCTTGCCGATTAATTTATCCTCTAATCAGGCCGAGAGCCGTTCGAGCACCGGCTCACAATAGATCCTCGTTAATATGAAGGATTGGGACTAATGAGACTTAAACGATTTTAATTCGATCTGACGGAATAATGCAGGAGACATAACGCTCCTATTGGGTTCCTACTGCCTTTTATATCACCTCAACATAAAATTTATTATTATTTTTCAAGATAAAAAGTGGTTGGGGATAAGCATTCTACCTGCGCAGGTAAAAGCCTTGCGCATAATCGTATCAGGGTGAATCATTTCCTCGAGGGAAAAACAGGTTCAGCACGAACATTAATGAGAAGCCCTACGTACTCCAGAATGGACCGAGTTAATTGGACTAATAAAAGGATGGAAGTTCTCACCGGTGACACTCAGAAGATACATGTTACGTTGGAGGGGGGAAGTGGAAGTTGAGTCCAGGGATCCCGTTCATCACTGCACACCTGGAATGACGATAAACGGCCGTTTATGGCCATGCGCTACGATATCTCGCAGCACACACATGCTACGTGGGTGGGTCTGTGTCAGCGCTGCCGAGCACTAACGTCAGGAGGAGGCAAGCTCTTCGTCTCGATCTGGCCTGTGGAATGGCTCGGAAATCGATGGGGACGGCCATGCGCGGGGGGGGGGGGGGGGGGGGGGGGGGGGGGGGGGGGGGGGGGGGGGGGGGGGGGGGGGCAGTTCTGCTTGGGTTCTGCTGGGTTGGAGTCAGGGCGTGAATCTTTGGGAGTCGAAAGGGGACAGAGGCGGTCGTGAACTTCGTCTTCCGTCTTCCGGGGTCGAACTCGGGGTTCGAGGGGGCTTCGATGACCGCTAGGCCTGACAGGAAAGACACTACGATAACGTTGTACTTCCCTGTTTTTCCCTCCTGCTTTTCATCCGATAACAAATTGCACGCCCGGTTGGAGATCCAACTCTTTTCACAAAGGCAGGATGTTTCCGTGGTCCGCCGAAGATGTTCGGAAGGCTAGATGGCCTAGACCAGAAGAAGAAACTCGAGGTAAGGCAAGCTACTTGAGGGGCAGTGAACCGTCTGAGACACCTACGCAATCAAACATGGAACATAAGCTTCCTCAATGTTCCTTTAGAGGACGCCCTCAAACCCACCCCAAAGCAAGGCCTGTAGTCTCCTGGGTCTCAGGACCAGCCCTAGTTATTTCTGCACCCGCTGCAAAGAGACTCCCGACGCCTCCCCCCTCCTTTCACCCACACACACGCGCACATTTTGATCAGGGTGGGCCACCACCTTCCGAAGTAAAAACTGAGGGTGGCATCCATGATTGCTTTATTCATTCAGTCACATTTTGGCCCCCTGTGCAGGGGCACATGTCTAAGGCCGGCCCTGTCAGTGGGTCAAGTACAAATATTTGTACCTTTCAGCTTGGTCGATGTTTCAGAGAAGAAAATTGGTGTTCCATCACATCCTGGAGTGACTGGTTTTGGTAAAATTCACTAATAAAGAAACACGAATCTAGGCGGTGTCAATTTGAATTTACCACCCTCTGTGAAAATTAGCATTGCGAGAAAACTTAAACAAAAATATGGAAAGCAAATTCGAAAATGTCATTCAAAATTCTAATACTTAGTTTCTAGCTCCTTATTTTCATTAATGTAACTTTCATCTGGAAATTAATTTCAAATTCTAAAAGCAGCTAGAAGTTGCATATTGAATTGTTGAAGTAGAATAAAACACGGGGCAGAACAGGCTCTGTGGTTTGCATTCCAGATGATGTATCCTTCACCAGTCATGGTATTTTTTTGGTTCAAAATGCAAGGCAGCATGAGACCAAGACATTAATTTTTATTGCTTCCAGTGATGCAAGACATTTCACAGACAAAACCACACATTCATTTCTCTATCCATGGAATAATAAAAAATAGACAAGTCATGATCACAAAAACTGAGATTTATGATGCATCCCTCATGTATTTAGGTACAGTGATATCTATGTGATGGATGCATTTCTTGACAGCAAAGTTAAAATCAAATCCTTGCTATTGGGAAAATAAAAACTGCCTTGAAATCAGAAACAGGACACAACCTAGATGGATTAAGCTGCCATCTAGGTTAAAACTGAGAAATCATCAATCATAAACAAATGTAACAAAATCCATCAAGATGAAGAAATATTCCAAAAGCCAGTTTAAAACTTGCTCAAAAAACTTTTAAAAAAGTCCAAGGGAAGATATGCGAGGCATACCAAGAATAAAATCCAACTCATGAAAATTTCAGAAGCTTCATTCTGAATGAACGACTCGAGTGTCCGCCAAGGCCGTCGCAAGGATGTCGGTCCCTCCTTCGGTCTTCTCAGCTGTATCTGCAGTCTCAATGGCTAAAAGGGTCTGCCCTTCAAGGACTTCCAAGTCTTCGACAGCACTGATGGCCTGCACCTTTCCCCCTTCATCCACCGTAACCAAGAGATAAGTTGAACCAGTGGATCCTGGCTGCGTGTTATGGGGAATCAACAATGTCTGAGTTTTTGGTGCTGGCTGTTGCTCAGAGGTCCCTGGAGTGGTAATGGGCAGCATGGGTGTGACATGTGCCACGGGCTTCTTTGCTTTGACATTGCTTTGCCCCTGCGTAATATCCAGGGGTGGCCTTGCAGCACTCACCAGTGCAAACTCTCTGTTCGATTTGACTGGCCGAGTTTCGGGTGAACTCTTGACTGCAACGAAACAAGGCAGAGATTGGATCTGCCTTTCTGCAGCAACTTGGGGTGTTTCTTGATTCAATACAGGTACAGTTGTCTCAGCTGTTTCCCAATTAGAAGATATAGATGCTTCAACCTGAGGCATTTCTTGATTTGATGACAAGGGCACAGGTAGTTCAGGCACAATTTGATTTGATGCCTGCTCATTTCCTGGAAGGGAAGACTCTTGCATAGAAGCAGGAGTGGGTTCATGCTTGGGAGAAGCCTCAATATTCTCCTCTCCATTGTTCAATTGAATGCCCTGAGAGGTGGGACAGTGCTCCTCAAACTGAGTATCTGATGAAGACCCTACATCTACTTGACCTTCAAGTGCCGACTTCAATGGTAATGAGGTGGGTGATGATGAAGGCTGGTCTCTGTCTGATGTAATGGATGAGGTTGAGGAGGACAAAATGGGGGCAGTTGAACATGGAGACTTGCCTGGAGGGAGGCTCGGAATGGTTGGCACTGCAGTCTCAGCCAAAAGGGCCTCAAATGTGGACTCTAGCTTTTCAGGAGTTTGGAATTCCTTCACTTTTTTCAAATTCTCCATTTCCTCATCATCATCCACTGCCTCATCTTCATCCTCCCAGTCAGCTCTCAGATGCTCTGTGGTGACATCACCTGGCAAAAGACAAAGGAAGAAGGATTTTGATGGAATCTATTTTTGGATGGTGGAGATGAAGACAAAAAAAGTAGGAAGCTGGAAACTCACTTCTTCCACGATGTTTTCCTGGGCCATGGTTTAGTTTTCTCTTTTTGGGGCTCTTTAATTCTTTCTTGTCCTCAGCAGGTTTCAAATTCAACTTCTTTCTCACATTATCCACTTTGGTTGGAGCCTTTGGAGTCTTCTCTGCACTCTTTTCAGGACTTTCAGGTTTTTTCTTCTTCTTCTCACTGCTTTTCCTAAATGTGTGAGAATGGGAATGAATTCAAGAAGGGTTGGTATTTTAGACTTATCATATAGCTCATCCTTCTACCTATGTCTGAGCATTGGAAGGCCCACCATGGCTGATGACATCAAGGACTTTGGGCTCTTACCTGGATGAAGATCCAAGTGTCACAGATCGCTGCCTCTTCTTTGCAGATGGTGGTGTCTTGGTTACCCCAGGAACAAAAATCCTCTCTGCAATCTTGCTGAAGTCAATCACTTTATTTCGATGCACCTTTTGATGAAATGTGAAGTTATCAAAGCGGCTAGTACTGAAATTGCACTCTGGGCACTTCCATGTCTGTGGATGCATTGACTCTGTGGATTTCTCTTCATTTACCTCTCCTCCTGTAAAATTTAAAGATTGTGACAACCTGCGTTCTTTTCAATTAGGACAGTCAGGGCTGTAAATTTCAGCCAAAGGAACTCACCAGAAACCATGTAGGATATCTCTGATGGTTTATCTTTCAAGGGCACTTTGTTTCGTTCATCAGAAAGAGCTGGCACAGATCTGTGACCTTTTTTCTTTGACCCTTCTTCTGATTTCTTTTTCTTCTTTTGAGTCACAGGAGTTGGGAAGATTGTCTTGATATTTGCAGGAGACTCCTGTTCTTCTCTTTCAAGCTCAGTTTCAATCTCCAGCAAGATACCTGGGTTTCCAGCAGTTTTCTCCTCAGCGAGTCGAACATCTTCTTCAAGCACATCCAAAAACACTCCTTTCTTCTTACATGTACCTAAGCATTAAAAAATCCATGAAATTAAGATGGATAGGTGAGGGCTTCTGCTGCAGCCAGCCTGAGAAACAGAAAGGAAAACAGAATTTGGCATACTGTAGCTCTTCTTCAAGAACTCCTTCTTTTCAGAACACTGATATGGATGTACAGATGCCTCCTTGTCTTCTGTTATCACCTCGCTGGAAAACGGGAGAAACCCAGGCAATGCAACATAAGATACTCTTCAAATTGTAACTTACTTTAAACATCAAAGCCAAATAAACTTACTATTTATCCTCGGAAAAAAACTTAGCAATGGCGGCTACATTTTTTCTTCGCTTGGCGAGTAATGCCTCTGGACATTTGCTGGGGTCTTGAACTTCTGCTGGCCACCAGAAACTGCTAAATTTAACCCACACGACGTCGCCAGCCTTAAATTTCATCGTGTTCTGGCCCAGCCCTATTCTTCCACATGAAACAGTAAAACTCAAGATGAGCTCATAAAACCTCCAGGACGAGTGGCAGGCTTTGAAACAGCAGGATAATCAAAAATGTCCCGACTCTATGAAGGCCGCCATCTTGGAAATATAGTCCAACATGGCTGCCTCTCTGTTCCATGTGCTTCCGTCCTTATTCCATCCGCTCTGATCGATTGCCGGCAGAAATGAGTGGAATGTCTTTTGAAGACTGTTTTCAATGGAGGTCTCTGACACCACGTAGGATCCCTCCGCAAAACATCGTTATCCGGCTTGCAAATCGGGAAGTTCTCGGCGCCAGCACGAAAATCAACCCTTATTCCATGTCCCGGAAGTTCTATCAAAACATTGTCCCCAATTTCACAGTCATGACTGTGGAGAAACCCCCATGTTTCCTCAGGAAGTTCTCTCCCGATGGGAAACTTTTGATTGCTTTTTCTTGCGATCAGAACTGCGTGGAAATTTATGAGTATCGAGGTGCCGCTGCTGCCTGTGATTTGTTAAAGGATACTGATGGGGATTTCCTAGGAATCCCCGTTCGTGGGGATGAAAGAGGCAGTCAGTACGTGCAGGAAGTACGAAGAAGAATCTTTCGCTGTTTTTTTCGCCTCCAACACACTGTGCAAGTTGTCTCTGGTGTGGAACAGCTGAATCGAGAATGCAGTCTTTTTACTAGTGATGGAGACTTTGTGATCGTGGGCTCAGCTGCTCCAGTAGTCTCACTTGATGAGGTGCAAATCCCACATTTCTTTGATTTATATCAGAACAATGAATCCCTCACTTTCAATGTGCGAGCTCCACTTGAGAACTACACTCTACATGTTGTCCACCTTCGTGAAGGCACTGTTGTTGATAAATGCCAGTTCCGGATTGATAAAATTGCCCTCTCACATAATCAAGGGCTGTACCTGTACAAAAATACTCTTGCAGGTGTGTCTGGTTTCTTGAGATTTCCCAATTATGCAGGTGTAGAGAATAATAGCTTTCCTTTCTCCTTGCTTCCAGTTCTTTCACTTCAGCATCAACTCATCCATATCTTCCGTCTCATGAGAGATGGTTCCCTGGTGCCAATGCAGACAATAGGAAGGTTCTGCTATGATGATGATCATCTCCAAGTGGACCAACGCTTTACTCATTCCCCACATCAAGCATTTCGGGAAGCAACTATCAATTCTTTGAAACATAGGCTACTTGTCTTTTTATACAAAAAAGCAGTTGCTGCTTCTTTGGTCAAGCGATCTACTCTTCCCCTTCGAAGGTTCTTCCAGCATTTCAACACATTCCTGCACCTCAAGATTTGGAAGATGCAACTTCTTGATGAAGAGCACCTTCTCATCAAATATGCCAGTGAAGAAGTGGTCACTACAAGGCATGTTTAGCATTCTTCCTTGCTCTCTCTTTGTTAAATTTCCTACCAGATTCAAGAAATGGACAAGTATCTATTTTATCTTCATCACTTAGGTGTCAAGACCCAAACTCCCATCCATCATTCTTTATGGTTTATAATTTGAAGAATACAGAGGTCCTTGCCATCTATGAGAATACATCACAGGAGTTACTTGCTCTCTATGAACGATTCTGTGATCACTTTAGAAATTCTACCCTCAGTTATGAATCTTGCTTCACTTGCTCTCCTGCAAACAATATTTTTGCAAGGTAAGTTCATTTGAACTTCTAGCCATCTTTCATGACTGTCAAAATGGTAAACAACATGTTTTCTGCAGACAAGTCCAAAATCGATGCAAGCAAACTTGGACAAATGCCAAACTTGGAGGCCCAACTGAAGCAACAAAGCGTCTCTTGGCCCAATTACCCATCAGTGCACAGTCATATTCTGCTACTCCCTATCTTGATCGTGGCCTGTTTTCCTATGATGACAAATGGGTTTCGGTCATGGAGAGACCCAAGGCCTGTGGAGACCATCCAATCCGGTCAGGAATTCTTTGTGATCATCTGCAATGTTTTAAGGTTGACTTTCCTTACCCCTTTCCATCCTGGTCTCTGCTAAGATAAATTGGACTCAAATGGCATTTAGTGGACTTGATTAATAGGTACAGCTTAAACATGGCCATTATCTGTAGCAATGCAAGAAATTGCTTTATCTTTATGAGGAAAATATTAGTTTGATTGCTGCCAGTAGGATGACAGAAAACAAGATTCCATATTTAGGGAGTGTGGACAATTAATTTTAAAATACTATGCCAACAGGGAGAAACTGATTCAAATCTTATTAATTCTGGTATTCCTTCTCCTGGCCTGCTTACATGGTATGATATTGCAATTATATAATGTGATAGCCTACCAAGTACAAGAGGTTTGAGGAACATGAGTCCAGGCAGAATCTTTTATTTTTTTTGGGACTTCTGGCCAATCCTCCCACCAATCTAAACCCTCCCTCCCATAGACTCATCTGAGAGTTGAGTCATCTCTAACACTGGGAAACTCAACTTGGCATGATACCTTACCTGGGTTTGGCCTTCACCCCTTGGGGCTCTTTAACATTTTGCATTTAGTGACAGGAATACAGATCATTCAGAGATCTCCCTTCCTAAATATGCTGCAGTTGGAAAGAAACATCTGACTTGGTTGATTTCAAATCTGGATCCCCTGCCATGGGAGCCAAGTTCACTACCAACTTAGTCAACCATATTCCCCAAGTTTTTATTTTTTTCATAAGACATTGCAGGTGGAATTTAATGGAATGACCAGGCATCTCTGGAAAATCAGAAGAAACAGTTTCCCTCTTCTGGAGAAAGAGAGTGATATCCAGTTTCATGCAAAAATCTCACCTCTCTCAATCTCAATCGCCTGCATTCTTGGAGTTGAACATACCTGATAAAGTTAATAGTGATAATGAATAAATACTCTTCTTTTTTACCTTTTGCTGCACTTCCTTACAATGTTCCTCTGTAAACATGACTGCTTTGCTAGTGAATGCCTAAACATTTAGGTAGTGTTGGGCTGTAATAAAGTAAAAGTAACATAGTTTTATGGTAATTTCATTGGTAATGAGTTACTTTGCAAGGACTTGTAGCAGAAGCAGTAACTTGTTCCTTTACCAAAGAAAATTTCAGGGTCATTACTGTAATGCATTTCTTTCTTTCAGACTCAAATTTTGATGGATGTGATGAGTGCTGTATTTCAGCATTCATCCTTGCCATTATTGAAATCACTTACAAAGCTGAAAACACAGTTCAGCTCATTACACCCCAACCAACTAATTTTGCTGTGGAGAGGCTATTTAATATTGGCAGATACATTTTCACCTATAATGGAGAATTTATTACACCAATGTTGAGAAGCAGCTTCTTCAAGAGCAGACTTAATACATATGAGTGCATCATATGCTTATAAGTCCCAGGAGAATGCCAGCCAACGTTTTTCACAGGATTTTTACATGTTCACCTCACAACCAGACTGCAAGTATTGAGATCTGTTAGTGTTCATGCATGATCCAATGTGATGTGAAGCTTTTTACTTCATCCAGTGTATAACTCAATCATTTAGATAAACATGCTCAAATGTTTTTTATATTTCTTTGGCACTTCACTCTTGTATGCAACTCCTGCTTGCTTCTGTTGATTGATGAGGCAGGGATTTTCATTGAAAGTTGCTACATTTTTCATGAAGAGGTTTTTCTGCCATTTGTCATGAAGAAATGCTATGCACTTTTCTTCATGTTTTCACCAAAGTTATTATTCCAATATACCTTAAGCTTTTATTAATCTTCATAGCTTTGCCTTCTCATCAGTTGGTTGCTTGAGCTATTTTAACATAAAAAAAAAGGATTTTCTCAAAGGTAATGTACTCCTTGTACCCCAGGAATTGAGTACTATTCTTCTATGCATCCACCAAGATATGAAATGTATACCTGAAAATGATATCATCCATGAGGTTGAAATGTAATTGTGCCTTTTGTGACTAGTTATTGGATGATGCTAGATGGGACTGAACATTAGGGGCTATATTCTATTACTTGCATAGGCAATATTTATTGCCTTATTCTGAGCAAACTTCTTAAGAAGACATCTAAGTATGATGCTTAAGTTCCTCACCATTTCTATTATTATCATATTATTAGCCTCCTGCTCAAGACTGCCATCAGAGAGTCTTAAATTAAGGCACCTCTATATTCACCTTAAGTTCAGAAAGCACAATGTGGTTGAATTGAACACTAGGTAATTTATATCCTGTAGCTTCCCTGAAGATAGAAAAGAAAACTTACAGGGACAGAACTTTCCATTAAGTAGCGATTCTGCTAGGTTTCTGCCAAAAAATATCAACCTTCTTCAAAGTTTTATTTCAAGTTTAACACCCAATAAGGCTTTTTTTTAAATTGATCTTTTGCCAAAGTATTTTCTAGCCTAAATAGTGCATACATCATGTTGACATGCTTCCTCAACTCATTTGGAAAGATTTAGCATACAATTCAGTAATTAGCCATTGGGCATGATCACAATATCATGAGTAGGATGAACGAAAGGAACTAAGCCCTGGGGATGCACATTTCCCCTGTTTCAAAGAGAAAATGATTGATATTACACTACTGTAATTTATAAATGCACACTGTAATTGATATTGCACAAACTCCCATGATAAAGCTGTGAGGTTTATTCCATTTCTCAAAACTGATTTTTTAAATCCCTCCATGGACACAACACTCCATTTTGACCTGCCAAAATAGAAAAAGGGGAATTCCTATTTTTCATGTCATTGTTCATCACTTAGACTCAGGTTCATTTGAAGAATGCTCGCAAACTGCACAAGAGTCTCTTCTAAACTCAAGTTTTCTCACTACTCAATTTTCCCTGACTTCTCCAATTCAAAGAAGTCGAGACAATCAAATGTGGCAAACAGAATAAGACCTCTTAGGTGTTTCTCAGAGATAAACCATTGCAACCATTGTTGATCCCAGCAAATTGTTGGGGTGCAGAAGGGGCTTTCCTCTGTATAATTTCATCCTCTGAGACAATCCAGTTAAAGTGATTCAAGTGGGAATGTTGTGCATTGGGGAATTTTCCACTGCCCTATAGTTAGAATTTTGTGGAATGGCCTTATGGAGGCATCATTGAGCCACATGTTCATCATTCCTGTGATTCAAACTGATTCTGCTTTTCCTGATGTTTCCCTAGATTATTCCCAGAAGCATCACTGACCAGTATTGAAAGGAATGATGTCAAGTAAGACGTATTGGTCACTTGACCATCTTAGGCACCTTGCTTTGTCTAAGGAACACACTTAGTTCAGCAAGTTGCTAAGATGGAGATGGAATTCCAACTTAAGCAACATGCTTTGCTAAGAGAAATTCTTTACATTTTTAACATTTTCCTTATCCTAAGTTGAGAAATAAATAGAATACAGCCCCAGGTCTCCCTGATTGGTCATACCTCATTATTACTGAAAAGACTTGCATTCTCTCAGATCATATGAGATAATTTTTCATTTCAGGTTCTACTCTAGGGACTCAGGTCTTCTGCGCTTTCAAATCTATGCTGGGATTCATGGGGCATCTCTTGGTCCTGGGAATTCCAGGCGACTAGTGGCCTTCACCTTTCATCCAACTGATCCATTTGCAATCAGTGTTCAGCGCAACAACTCTGAATACATAGTGAATTTTCATTTGCGACATCGTAAGTAGGGGAATTTGAAGTGTCAGTGTCAAGATGCTGGAATGTCATTATGCATTTTATTTTTCATAGCATTTGTCTCAACTTTTAGAATGGACATATTTGAATTCCAGATCCATCCTGGATTTTGTTGCAGAATGTGATGTAATGGAACACTTGCTGCATGAACTATGTTGCCTCTGAACTTTAACTCTGTTTATTTACTTTAAATGTGACTTATTGGATATGACTTGAAGCATTGTGTATTTCACAAATGTGTGCCTTATTCTTGGTGACATTTATTATTTTGTAATGTGAAGTCTGTGATGATTTTTCAAATGGAAAAGACTCTCAAGTATCTTTTCAAGGTATATCATGAAATTTAATGTTTTCATCAGATGCTTTTCATGATTTTGCTATGAAATGTTCTATTTAAACTATTGCCACAAATGGAGTCTCTTGATGACTGTGATCCTACAATTGGTCTCAGAATAAAACCTTTGGTGTTTTCTTTCTTTCCCAGATGTATGACTGAAGTATTATATAGATACTGAGGGCCTGAATAACAAAATAGTGAAAGAGAAATAAGGCCAGTGAAACATGAGGTTGAATGCAGTGTTATGGAGAAATTTCTCCAAAGTGGGCAAGACAACAAAAGAATACTCAAATCTCCCAGATTCCTACATCAAGAGAGCCATGGAGAAGGTGAGTTTGTGAATCAGCTTGAGTGAATTGGAAAGAGCAAAAATGTTTGATCCTAAGAGGCCTACTTTTGTGCTATAGGTATACTACAAGACACCTAAAGACCATAGGTTCTTGAGAAGAGAGGACAAGAAGAGGCATTTCTACTTTGGACTAGATCGACCTTGGACTGAAGGATTCCAGCATGCTAATCGCTACAATAAGCGGACTCCCCTTGTTGAGCCCATCAAAGACTGGTCCTTCTTTAGGGGAGATCGGGTTTGTCTACCTCTCTCTCTGTCTCTTGCACCATTCCTGTATGGTTTTCCTTCCCAAAATGTTCCTTCTGAGAAATGGTAGAAAGTGTGTTTTTGTCCAGTTTGCTGAGTGGATTTTTCAAAGAAATTTGTGAAGACAATGCAATTGAATGTAGAAATTAAACAGGGTAGATCTGGTACTAAAACCAGGAAAATAAAAAATACCAGAAAAGGATTTCAGTGAAACTTCAATTGACCTCTAGTTACCAAGAGCATTTAACTTTTACCACTAAACTGGGTATGAGTATACTCATCATGGCCATTCCTCCACATGGTGGATAAATGTGAAGGACAAGTATACACACCATGGGATTTGAAGGTGTAAGACTTTCATTCAGTGAAACATTATTTTTCTTGAATAAAAAATAATTGAAAGAAGCTCCATTGTATTTGTGAGTAGCTGCAAAAAATAACTTCCCACTCAGCCTGCCACCACCATGCAGAAACTCCCCAGTTAAGTGGTTAACCCTAGGTTGGCACTGTGCATTTCTCTGCCATGGACCCAGGATTTGCCTCAGTTATCTTTTTTATGTATCAGTGCTGTGACTGGGATTATTTTTCAGTATGGTCTACTGTTTCAAAATTTCTTGGAAAGTGTAATTTGGCCTTGATTCTGACTGTAAATTAGAATTTTGTGGGAAAAAGACTTTGGCCTGAATGCTGAAACCTCCCTTAGTTCAGTCTTTCAAGAACCCACAGACTATGGGGTTTCAGCACTTGGACATATGAATCTGTGATGGCAATGCTTGAGAAAATATCTCTATTCTCCTTGACTGGTTTTCTTTTGATCTGCAGAATATGTCATGTCACACAGCTATTTAAAATAAAAAAAGACCTGAATAATGATGTCTTATAGGTAGAAGTGCTAAGTGGGAAGGACAAAGGAAAACAGGGGATTGTGGTGCAGCTGATAGAAGAGAGGAATTGGGTGATTGTGGAGGGACTCAACTGCCGCTATCGAAATGTGGGGAAGACTCCCACCTACCCTGGTGCCCTTGTGAAGGAAGAAATGCCTCTACTGGTTACATCAGAAGTTGCACTAGTGGATCCTTCTGACACGTGAGTCACATCATAAAATGCTTCTCTTGTGGTTGAGGTTCAGGTTAGGCATATGGGAAATGAAAATGTTTCAGCCAACCAACAGAGATCGAGTGGCGGTACACTGAAGAGGGGGTAAGAGTACGAGTGTCAAAGCGAACAGGTAGAATCATCCCCATGCCCAAAATGGCTGGGGAAACCCATGATTACAAGACCAGGACCACATACAAAGGTCAGTACCTGATTTTACCTCTTTTCACCAATCTTTTTCATCAGTCCAGTTTAGTTTTTATATTTTATTCAATACATATTCATTGGAGTGGGAAATTCAGTTTTCAATGTGTAGACATGCAAAGGAATGCAGACAAACCACTAGCAATGAGTTTAAAGAGACCCCTCAAAGTGATGCAGCCATTAATTAAAAGAGACTGTTTTGCACAGGAAAATGCTTAGTGGATGTGGCATTTCAGGGACATGATCTATCTCTTTGCAGAAAATGAGAAGAAAGACACTAAATCCAGAGAGGTCATGGAAGTAACATTTGAACCATGCCTCAAGACCTTTGAAATGGACATCATGGACAAGATGGGAATCAAGGAGACTCATACTCCTTGCAAAACTTATTGGTATTGAGGGATGAGCTTTTTCTAATGCTGGTGCTTTAAATAAATAGTGCATTGTTTTCCAAGTTCCAGGACTCAAGGATTTTATTTCTGCCATTTGGCAGAATGTACAGCTCAAAGAGACAATTCAAATACAACACAAAGATTCAACAAAATTCAGACTCCTCTCAGTAGTATGCCCTTCTTGGATTGTTCTGAAAAATAAACAAACATATTAACTGTAATACAGAGAAAACCTTCCTCGAAAAGATACTTGTTTGACTACATACAAGGGGATTAGGACGAAATCGGTATGCCAGCATCATGCGTTTGCGATAAGCTTCGTATTCGTCATCTTCCTTCTTCAGCTCTTCAGGACGATCGATGCCCAGTCCTGAATTATCTCCCTTCTGAACAGCCCTGCAATAAAAAAAAAAAAAGATAAGGGCTCATGATGTAACACACAGGATATCCAAACAAGAGGATGAGACATTACTTGTTCACAGGAACTGTGATTCCCTTGCCTTCTGAGCCAAGGCCCATTCCTTCAGTCCATCCAAGCTTCTGTAACATCTGGTATCCAATGTTATCTGCCTGGAGCTTGAATTCTTTGAAATCAGAAAAGTCAGGATCTCGACCCTCTTTCAAAGCCTGCAATTTTTCCATGAACTTGGTCATCTCTTCTGGTGGTAGGAAATCCCCAATGTGATGCTTTCCTTTAGCCTGCTTTGTCAGTTGTTCAGCCCATTCTGCAACAGATTTTACCTTGCTTTGAGGAACAATGATTTTCTCTGGTGGGAGGGATGTTGACTGACATACTAGTTCCTCTGCATTTTACAGCAGGGCTTTGATCAAGGACTTATATTAGGGACAGGCGGGACTATTAAGGCAAGCATAACAAAAACAGTTTGCTGCCGTTCTAATAGTACTTCTACACTAGAAGCTCGGAGTCCCCAGTTTTAGGCAAACTGACATGAACTGCCAGTTTTCTAACAGTTCCAATCTTAAGAATGAATCATGGAAATGAGCTTGAACCAAGTTCCCACCTGCAAAAAGATCCTTAACTTAATATGTTTGGGTTCTCCTTATCTCTACTCTACTTATCAACTCATTGCTCATCCTCTCCTATCAAGTAACCTTGGTCTTGAATTTTTTAAACTTGGCTTGTCTTGAACAAATTTTTTTATGAAGGAAGATGTTCTTTGGCTGAATTACTTAATGTAATACCTTTAGTATCTGTCATCTCCTGCATCCGAGTTTTATGCTCCCAAGTCCCACCATCAATTTCTTCATCAGAATCATACTCATACTTGTTCTTTCCCTGTCTTGCAAGTCGTTCTCTTTCTTGCTTCTTCTCCAACATCCGTTTATATACCAAGCCCAGCTATGATGTAAAACAAGCACAATCTGCATTAGTAGTAAGGATTTACTTCAAGTGGTATAGATGGAATGGTAGAGACTGAATATTTAACATACCTTAATCTGATCTTCACATTGCTTCCACTGTTCTTCTGTGAGATTTGTGTTTCCATATACTCGAACAGCATAGGCAATCAGTTGAGGGTCAGATCGGCCAATTGGAGCTCCAATTGTTGAAGTTGAGGGACCACCAATAGCTGGAGAGCCATCCCATCGCCTCTTCTTCCTTTTCCGTAGCTCCTCTCCTCCTTCATCTTCTTCTACTCCAAAAATCCAATCAGCATGACAGAAAATGCTGAAAGCATGATATTAGCTAAAATATAAAATGTCTAAACCTTCCGGGTCACTGTCTACAGCAGCAACCCCAATTCTCCGTGCATTTTCAACTTTGGTCTTGAAGACTCTGTATGCCCAACTCTCCTTGCTGAACAAGAACCTAATATAGGAGACATAAACTCAACAAATTCATCGTTTCAAAGACTGCTTAAATAAATCAGATTAATTTCAATCAGGCTATAACCACTACTGACCAGAGACCAGGGTTGTCAGCATATTTTGAACGGGCCTCCTCTTCAGCAGCTTCTCCACGATTGGCAACATCTTTGGCAATGGCATCAGCTGCAGTCCAGTCAACATTGGCTGAGTCAGTGGGAGAGGGGCCACTACTCGTGCTGGGTTTGGCACTCACTGCAGGAACTAGCAATATGCTTGTGAGTCTCTTTTGTCACAATTCCTGTACCGTAGTAGAGAAGCTAGCTAATCTGAATTGGAGGAAAGAAGCAAAGGGAAGGAAACACAACATCCATAAATGTATAAGGATGTTCTAAACTAAAAAGAAACACCTTGTAATCCATCAAAGTTCCTCAGGGCAGGTCAAAAGTAATTCCTCTATTCTATTCATCCATAAAATCACATGTCTTTTGGAAGCTCAACGGGGGAAAAAAAAAAGCTAAATTCCCTAAGGACTCACCAGGAGAAGCAGCTGCAGCAACCTCATCTTCATATGGATTCTCAAATGCAGATGTAGTAGCTGATGATGATGATGTCATTGGTTTTCCTAAGAAGACAGTGAAGATTTTTTACTTAATAGTGAAAGTTATTCTATACTGATATTTTTCAAATTGACATGACCAGTGTATGGGTTTCAAATTAGAACTAGTATCTGCTGGAAAAAAAAAGTGATAGATCCAAAATTATCCTCGGCACATACCTATGCTACTCCGATTAGCGGTGTGAAGAGGTGGGTCCTTGGCAAGCTTTGCACCTAGGCTAGGTGGAGGAGCACCTGGAGTAGCAGCTTTCTTCCCAAAGCTTTTCAACATCCTGAGGGAGGAAAGGAATGAGATTTGTAACAAAGCTAAGCACAGTGCAACAATAATAAGTCATAGGTCAGTAGGGAAGTGGAATGGGTTATGGTTAGGAATGGCATGGAGAGCTAGGTAGTTGTGATATACAGCTAACATGCAACAGGCCTATTTTACAAATGACACTAGTTCAACTAGATATCTTCACTGCTAGAAATGCAAACATATCCAATATCTGGCATTAAACCCATATTGGACTTGATTGGCCAGAACCCAAGAGAGCCTGGAAGTTTTCAAATTTTGATCTGACCCAAACCCATTTTTGTTCACAATATTATTAATAAAGATCCAGTGTCAGTCCTTTTTAACAGTAGTTAATATGCCTATTTCCATTATATCCAGTATTTTGAGCTCACAAGACTAAATATAAATATGGAGCAAACCTGATTGTAAAAAACATGGATTTCTGCTATTGTGCTTCTTGGCCATAGATATATAAGCATTTAGGGTTGCACAAGGGATCATAAAAAGTAAGTATTGAAGAGGAAATTCAAGGAATCTTCAATTCATCACCTCAGTTCAACAAGGTTCTATATGAAATTTTAGAAAACGAAAATTGATCTAATTCAACATCAATTACCTACTTATAAGACACTTCCAAGCAATGAGTTGCTATTGTACAGAATACTAAGTATGTAGGGCCATCTTGAAGTGGAAATGGTAAAAACTAAATAGAAAACCTTGAGAAGCTGCTGCATTTTAAAATTATTTCTTTTTAATTTTCTTGACTTACAGATAGAACCTTATTGAACTGACATGACAAAATGTCCCCTTCTATACTTTATTAATGACCTACCTCTAGTAGGTAATTAGGTTTAACTTTACAATTACTCTCACACCCTTAAGACTAGATCAGGGGTGTCAAACATATGGCCCGCCGCCTGTTCTTGAAATTTCTGCTTGGATTGACTGATAGCACAAATTTCGGTGAAAAAGTATGGGTGCGGCCTGCAGGCATCTGCAGGATAAGGAATGCGACCCGCCGACCAATTTGAGTTTGACACCCCTGGACTAGATGAATGGTAGAGCCATGTATATATTAATATGGACTAGCACATAATTTTTCTAAGCAGCGCATATCAAATCATGGGTCGGTCCTCTCAGACTAACCTGAGTCACATTATTCGGGTCAGGTTTTCATATGCACTTCCGGCTTAGTCTTCCTTATTCTAGTGAGACCCATCAGCACACCAGCAAGTTTCGTGGACTTCGATTATTCCTTTCCCAGTTCAGTGTCAAAGGCCAAAGAGAGAGTAAGTCAATCTATTTTGGAGGATGATGTCAGTTGGGTTAGAAAAGGGTCATGGCCAAAGGCTGCAATTATTTTTTATCCCAACTGACACATCATTCTCCAAAATAAGTTGACTTTCTCTCTCTTTCGGCCCAACATAGATGGAATGCAGCTCCCAAGGTATGTGTTTATCGCTGGTTCTCTGAGGTTAGAGTGCACTTGGGTTTAGTGAAAACTCATGAAAGCTTTTGGAATGAAAAAAATCAATGCTAACCCACAAGTACTGATAAAAGTACTTTTTACAACAGGGAAAACTCACAAACTTCAGAGGTAATGGGGAGAATGACTTTCACCCTTACAAAGCCGAAATCAAAGAGCTGGCAATAAAAGGATTAATAAGCACTGATACATTATGCCAACTTCATTCACATTCTATCACACATTTTTTAATTCATATTCAATGACTTTTAAAGTATAAAGTAAAGAAACTTATTTATCTAATTATTTGTAGCCCTCAAAGTAGTAATCCCTCTAGTCCTTGTAGCAGAACATCATGTTACAATTTTCATAGCCAATTTCTTCATAAGGTTAAAGTAAATAATATATCCTTGAGTGCCATATCAAAATGTAGGTTATGGTGGGACCAGAGTTCTCGTTAACTCACTATAGCGAGTCCCTGACTCATATTTGTGAAAACATCTTAGTCTGTGGGACTCATTGACAACCACCTGAACATGTTCCCACTGAGCTGAAGCTAGGCACCAGGACTTGAGATTTAAAAAAGCTAGTGTGAACCCTGGTGGGGCAGAGAAGTTATTGTTCCACTATGCTGTGCGGTACCTATTATGCATGTCTCAGAAATACTGAAACTGCCAGTATCACCTTGTGGCACTCCAGATGACACTGTTAAGCTTCTACATGTCAAAAAATGCTCTGGGCATCATCATTCAACTCATCAATTGGCTACCATAAATGCACCATGTTTATTTCTGCTAAGTGGCCAATTCTTTTTCTTATACATGAGTGCCTGGTGCCATGAAGTAAGAAAATGTTTAAAGGTCAAGACAAGGTCAGACATAAAAACCTCACATTTTCCTGTCAATGCATGCAGACTCGAGAGATATGTTAATCCGATAATTAAGGGATTAGTGTTTTGCAATAAAGATCTATATACAAAGAATAACTGATCTTCAGAAAACTTAAACAGCCTTAGTTTCATGAGGGAGAAGTGACTATGAATGGAAGTAAATCCCATGTGTTCTGATAACAGGATACATGGATTTGAGTGGAATGACTTCCAGTGAGATAATGTATAAAATTCCAATTTCTTTTTTTTATTACCAAGATAAGCTGAGAGGGCCCACAGTGGTTTGAGATTGACATTTCCCCTTAGTCATACATGCTCCATACTTTTCTCTGGCCTCTACCATCAGGTTTCACAGTAGTTATTTCCTTACTCAAGGGAAGATGTTGCTCCATGCACTTTAATTGTCAGACTCCTATGCCATTAGCAAAATTAAAATCACCACGTCTCTCAAGTACCATTGACAACAATACCAACTAATAAATAGATCAATCTGAAAACAATGAATTCATACTGCTGAGAAAATGTTCCATGTTAAATGAAATTGCAAAGCAGATCCCTCCAAATCAAACAAACTAATGATAGGCCATTTGAGCACCATTTGAGTTAGGGTTTATAGAATTTAGAGCAGGGCTGGGCATAACTTAAAAAATGGCACTACTTTTTGGCACCAAATGGAATTCATCAGTGATTCAATACCTTAATTCCACTATCTTCTTTAAGTCTCATACAATAGCCCATTTGTGTCCTTCCAGATCTTCACTTCAACAAACCAATAATCTAATTTTCCTTGTAACTAAAATAGAGTAACAAATTTTGGGTATATTTCATTATGTCAACCCCCTCTCCCTCCCTATGGTATTTTGTATGTACCTATGGTATGTATGCCACCTCTACCTTCTCCTGGATCAATTAGGGGGTACACCAATTAGGCCTAACATTAGACGTGTGAACATTGGTCTACACGTCTAAAGCAGAAGGGGACAGGACAGAACTCCTGCATAATGAACATTAGGATTGGGCCCCCTTAAAACAATCAGGAGTGCACAGGTCACTTGGAAACTGCCACATGGTTACAGTCCCAATTGGTCTTACGTATTTACTAATAGGTCGTGTGGCCTTCATGAATTTGCCATAGTTGCTTCGGGAAGCTTTAAGCCACTGCTGCTTTCATTTAAATATTCTCTGAAGAGGGACTCTTGAGAGGAATCAGTAAAGATTGCACTCAACAATTCTTTTGGGAAAGGTCTGTTACTGTGGGACATAGTTTTTTGGAATCGGGTATGGAACAGATAGACAGCAAATGAAGGTGGACAGGGGCTTAGGTTCCCAAGAGTGGGAGGGGGGAAAAGGTGGGCAATGATAGCAATTACCCTCATTGCAACTTCATCAACCTGCCAATTTGCTGATTTTTGCATGGGATCCCCATCTCCATCCCAATGCATTGATCTTTTGGCTTAACTTTAGAATACGTTTCCACGCACTTGGGAACAAATAAGTACTTATATCTATATGGATATATTGGGAATATATTTCTCATGACGGCGCATGGACGGTGTTTCGCCCAGGAAACGCTAGAAACTCGTCACATATCTTGGGCCTTGGCAACCCCGAGTGGCCATGTTACACGCTCCGCCCATGCCCCTGCATCTGCTAGCACATTTCATGGCCTTCCTGGGCATGTGCGCTGTACTCGGGTTGAGGTCGGTCCTCCCGCAGACTGACCCGACTCTTATGGCACGTTTTACTACGCCCTTCCGGTCTAGTCTTCATTCAAGTGAGACCCGTCATTGCACTAGCACAGTAGGTGGACCTCCATTATTTTCTCCCAGGTTCAGTGTCAAAGGCCAAAGCGTGGGAAAGTCAACCTATTTTGGGGGATGATGGGTCAGTTGGGTTAGAAAAGGGTCACGGCCGTTCTCACTCTTTCGGCCCAACATGGAAGGAATGCAGCTCCCGGGGTATGTGTCTCTTGCTAGTTCTCTGAGGTTAGAGTGCGCTTGGGTTTAGTGAAAATCCACAAAAGCTTATGAAACGTTAGTCTGAGTCTCTAGCTCTGAAGTGATTACAAAATTATAGATATTTTCAAGACCACTTGAGATTGATGTATAATGTTTCTCTGAGGCAGTTGGTGCTTGAGAAATAGGAGCGCTTCACTTGATTAGCATTGTTCAGCGTGAGAATACAGGCATCAATGGTTTTTACTGTTCCAACGAAAATGGGCGTTCTCGGCCTCCATTCAACATGGCTGCCCCCATTTTCCGTATTTTCCATAGAGAATAATGTAAAACCGTGGAATGCCACAAAATGCACTAATCAAGCGATGCACTTATCTTTCTCGAGCACCAATTGTTACAGAGGAAAATTATGCATCAGTCTCAGGTGGTCTTGAAAAAATCTGGGGTGGGAACAGATTCTAAACATGTTCCATATTTTGAATGTTGGAAGTACTGGAAGATAGGATACAGGGTTGACAGAACAAACTAACCTTCTCCTACATTAGACGTGAGGGGCCAATAGTCACACATCTAACGTTAAGCCTAATTGATCCAGGAGGAGGTAGAGGTGGCATACATATGAAATACCAAAGGAAAGGATAGGGGATTGACACAATGGACATTAGAAATACCTAAGGTGGGTAAGGGGGGCAGGGGGGTTGATATAATGAACTATCAATGTCAAAATATCACATCATAAATCAAAATATATGCATATGAACTATGCCAATAAAGGGCCCAGCATTTGCAGTTTGTCATAAGCCTAAATATATTCATGGAGTTCCCTCCCCATCTTTGACACAGAATCAATATTAGATGAACTAACAAAAACCATACTCAGCAGGTACATTCATATGCATCAGCACTTAAACTCATACACAGGCATAAATCAGAGAATAGATTAGGTTTTAAAAGCTTCAAAAGCTTAAAAGTTTGAAAAGCTTTGCAGTGCCTCGTGCCTACCTTTGAAGTTGAGCCTTTCTCTTGTCACTGGCTGAGTCTGCCTGAGACGGTGAGTTGTTGTTACCTGTCAAGGAACTTGATGAATCTCCATCCCTTTCTTTCCGCCTTTGCTCAAGTTTCGCCAGTATTTCCTTCCTCTTTTGTTCGATGAGCATTTCTTGCTGCGACAGGGTCTTTAATCTGTCGCCAGCCGGGTGTTTACCTTGACTGAACATGGTCAGGTCAAGAGTAAGGCTTGAATTTGATTCCACGCTCGGTAAACACAATTTAGCATACCTGTAAGGAAGTCATGAAGTCATATCACGTTGCAAGAAAACTTCAGATTAGTATTATTCCATAAAGTGGATTGGTAAGTAGAGCTGGTAGTATAGACAAGTGATACACTTCACAATACGGCGGGCAGCCATATTGGCTGCTTCGGTTGTCGCCCTTCCCAGACCGGAAACGTGCACCTTCTCTCCCGACCTAGCCAAGCAGTGTCTTTCTCAAATGTTACAAATGTTGAAACCGATACTTCGTCTATCGCTTGGTTAAGATTAATTGTAGCCGATGGAGGGATATAATACCTTCAGAGGTAAGATCACGCCCGGAAACTGTAGGATATATGTGACGCTTGAGTGTGGGAAAGTGAGCTTGTTCAGCATATGCTTCATGGGTGTCGGTCCTCTCAGTGAATGGATTTTCACCGGAGGGTATCATATGAGGAGGAAGGGAGGCACTCTGGCACTAACCCCCCTTGCCCTTAGGCAATCGTACAGGCACGAACTAGTTCCGACATTTGTTTGCTGTGTGTTTAGGTGCTAGGCTTTAAGCTGAAGATGGAAAACGATATGGCCAAACGTTTAGCCTACTCGTAACGGCTTGTCAGAGGAAGAGGGAAGAGGTGGTTTGTCGAAATCGTGAGCCCTTATGTTAGGACCGCCTTGCATGTTTTCTGCCGTTCAGTGTGCGCTATTGTAGGCAGTGGGTTCAGATATGGAGGGCAAGATTATCAGTGGAATATATTCCAGAAAAATTCCCGATTAACTCAAATCATTCGTAATGCACATGTTAGGCCTATCCTGTCCTTGAGTTACGGATATACAATCCAAAGACTCCAGTTCCCCCAGTCTGTTCCAATATCTAAAAAGATCTCAGGCCAAGATTTGTTTATTTGTTTCTGAGGTGAGAAATGGAAGACGCATATAGTTCCGATGTCAAGGCCTATCCAAGGAGGCCTAGTTTTTGGTAGACATATTCGATCATTATGTCAATCCTAGTTAATGAATGAGGCCTAGAGGTATATTCTGTTTCAGGATTGAATTTGTACCCTCTGGGTAGTGGAAAACAGAGAAAGAACTACTTCCAGAGGATCTTCTCCATCAGATTATCCATGAAGCCACTCAAGTTGAGGACATCACTGCCCACTTATGACACTCCCTTGAGAGGCACAGATTCAATCCAAAAACTTTGTTGTTCTTCCATGTTCATAAATGTGCTTCTCATCTGTGTGAGGAAGTAGAACTTCATCCCTATAATGACCAAGAGTATGTGTAACTGGATCCTGTTAAAATCCTTCACTGTGCAGTAACCATCCTGATTCTTTGAATTTTTGTCTGCAGGTTGTCTACCTATATTGTTTCTGGATTGAATTCATACCATCCTCCTATAGTGGAGAATGGAGAAAACACAAATTTCCAGATGTTCTGCTTCTGATGAAGCAGAACATCTGGACATAACCACCCATGTGTATGATATCAATACCTGTTATCGATGGAAGTGCTCCTATACAGGGTACAAATTTGATCTGGAGACAATGTATATGAAGAATCACTGCAGATGATGGCATATTAGAGATGGCATTCCTTCTGAAATTTCTATTGTTGATGTAATGTACTCTTGAGTTACAACTGTAGTGGAGTTCCTTGGGAGCATATTAACCATGTTATGACATTGATTGATATAAGACATGAAAAGGGGCTGGGACAGGCTATAATAGAATGTATCAGACTTTTTGATAATGATTTAAATTATCTGGTAACTTTGAAGTAAGGATAAGTTCAGACTCTTGCATGCTCTCATCTGGAGGCTGGCGACTTTCATCTTATTTGGACAGTATCAGTATATTTCACCTTGGATTTCTGCCCGAGATTAAACATGGATAATGTCCTCCTTCAGAAGCCCTAATATAGCTCATTTGGCTGATTGGCATTTTCTTTCAGCTTCTAACCTTCATGGGGCCAGATGTGTTATTCTTTGTTGATTTTAATTCTCACTTTACCTTTTCATATATTGTTCTAGATCAAATATATATATATGTATATATATCTTTGGATCCCATGTTGGCCGTGTCAATATGTAGAAGCCAATGATACAAGATATCTTTATGATTCCCAACGTTTCAGTGAAACACACCTTTTTCAAGGGGAATAGGAGAGTTCTCCTATTCCCGTTGATGTCTGATTCCGTTGATTAATACTCCTATTATCGTTGGCTTCTACATACGCCCTCATCTCTTCTTGTATATATATATATATATATATACACATATACATATACATTTTGCAGTCATGAAGTCCTGATCTTACTGCATTTTGTCTGTGTTTGAGAATCCATGCAAATCACTCATAATGCTCATGCCACTGCTTAAGGTTATGAAGTTTGACAGTATCAAGAATCTGCTTTAGCTATGTGACACACTTTGAATGCTCTCAGCCTGTATATCATAAGCAAGAATGCAGATTCGAACATTTTTTTGTTGCAATTTGTTGCTTAAGCTGAAGCCATTGAGCCAAAGTAATCTTTCACTTATATTCATTCCTATTAGCTTACAACTTTTGTTTCGGGTTGTGCTGTCTGGAAAGAGCAAATTATGGGATGCTCTGTCATTAAAGGTCAGCCACCACTGGTCAGAAACAAGGAGTGGCCATAAAATGTTTAGCAAGGGCAGATCTTGGGGAGTAGGGATTGCAGAAAATGACTACAGGATTGCTAGGCATACAGATGATGCCACTTGTACATTAGTTTTCAAGTGCCTAGAAAACCATGTTTTCTTGAATCAAAATGTTATTGCTGATATATTTTATTATCAGAATTGAAGGTTTCCTCAGAGGCTTAACATGTAAGGCTCCTGTACAACTTGAAATAGAAAGCTAATTTGCATGTCCTCATTGTCTCAGTTGACCCTCTATTTAGTCACTGGACTGATGAGATTAATTTTGCCACTTTATGTTGGGATCTTTCTCTGACCCTTTTCTTAAGTTCTTTTAGTCATTGATAGTATTTTCTAGATAGGAAAAAATTATGAATGACCTTGTGTTGCTTCTGCTTTTTTTTTTCCAGGTTCTTCTTTCACTAAAGATATCATAGGCTAAATGAAGGAGAGTTTGAAGTTCATCACAAGAAGTGATCATAATTTAGCATACTCCCAATTTTTGTCTATGGACAGCTGAAGCAGTCAGCTGGCATTGTGATCATTTAGTAGCAGCAAACAAATTGAACTATAATCTCCCCACTTGGAAGTGGACTGTCATTGCAGCAAGGACAATATGGTGTGGGAAGTCAAAAGTCTAGCTCAAGAAGGATGTGATTGACATGGAACAAAGGAGCTCCAAGTCGAATCTCCTAGGAAACATGAAAGACAAGGATAAGGAAGAAAGCCGGACCCGTGGAGGGTTGGGACGAGGGTCTGCACTCAATATCCCTCGAGGAACTACAAATGTGCAGCCTGGTGCTCAGTCTGGTGTCCTCATGGTTGGACCTAATTTCCGAGTTGGAAAGAAGCTCGGGGCAGGTAACTTCGGTGAGCTTCGTCTCGGAAAGAACTTGTATACAAATGAACATGTGGCAATTAAGCTGGAACCAATGAAGTCCAAGGCACCTCAGCTACACCTGGAGTATCGGTTCTACAAAATGCTGGGTGCTAAAGGTAAGCACTAATATGTTAGTTTTAGGACATTCAACTCTGAATCAAAGTGGCCTGTTAGTGGGCTCACTTACAAGATGAAGCCCCTACTGGTATTGTGGAAGTCAATCGTGTAGACATAAACCAATGCATTTTTGTGCAGAGGGCTTACCAGAGGTGTATTACTTCGGACCATGTGGAAAGTACAATGCACTTGTAATGGAGCTCCTAGGTCCCAGCCTTGAAGATCTCTTTGACCTGTGTGGCAGAAAATTCTCCCTCAAGACAACTCTATTGATAGCCATGCAGCTTGTGAGTTCTTTGTGTTCTCATTTCTGACTCGATGTTTGATCACTTCATTATTCTGTGATGGTGTCTTGCAGATCACTCGGATGGAATATGTTCACTCAAAGCACCTCATTTACAGAGATGTCAAGCCCGAAAACTTTCTTATTGGACGAGCTTCCACGAGGAAGAATAAAATCATACACATTATAGGTGAGCTTTTAGAACTTGCCTTGAGCTTACAAAGAAACTGAGCTAATTCTTGCTGGCCTCATTTCAGATTTTGGACTTGCCAAAGAGTACATTGATCCTGAAACAGGGAAGCACATTCCATACAGAGAACATAAGAGCCTTACTGGCACAGCTCGATACATGAGCATCAATACTCATCTTGGCAGAGGTATGGGTTGCATTTGTATACACATAATGCCAGTGGTGTGAATATCCTGAAAATGTACTACATTTTCCTTGATGTACACAGAGCAAAGCCGTCGAGATGACCTGGAAGCCCTGGGCCACATGTTCATGTATTTCCTGAGAGGGAGTCTTCCTTGGCAAGGCCTGAAAGCAGATACTCTGAAGGAGAGATATCAGAAGATTGGAGATACAAAAAGGAACACTCCCATTGAGATCCTCTGTGAAAACCACCCAGGTACATGATGTTTTCATAAGTCCAAAAAGTAATTTCTTGGACCTTTTCCTTCTGGATTACCACTGAAATCACCTCAGAAAGGTCAAGAGGCACCCTGGTGCCAATTTTCATGCAGACATTGTAATATTGTGGGATTTGGACATTTTCCTACCCTTAGGGCACAAGTTTTTCCTCATTTTTCCAATGTACATTATTTAACTGCAGATGAAGAAAATCTGGCATGCTTTTTATGGGTCTTCCCAGAGGACCTAAGGATTGGGTGACAGCTGTTAGGGTGCTTTCATGTTCCTTACATGATTTTTCATGTAAAATGTTTTGCATAGAAAGGCATGGGGTTGCATTGACTTGAGTTTAGGTGACCTTGAAATTATAGATCACCCACCCATAAGACCTAGAGATTGGTCTACCAGTTCCATGAGGTTATTCATGGTGTGCATGCATAGGATGACCAGTTTTCATCTCATTTTCCATCAATGCAAAAGTTGGCAAATTGGAATTTGAAATATGCCAGGTAGGGACTCTCTTGCTACAGGATGCCTAATATGAGGATGATGTTCATTACTCTGCAGAGAAGGGCTTTTGGACATGGAAACATGTAATAGAAATAATAAATCTTTCCATGCTTCATGGATCTGCTTCATAGAAGTGTTGGTAAACTTTCTGGAGTGAGATGGATTGCTCTTAGGCAAGTAGTAGCACAGAAGGGAACTATTCCATCCATTATCATAATATATTGTGATAATTTATTTTACAGAGGAAATGGCTACATATCTTCGCTATGTGAGGCGGCTGGATTTCTTTGAGACACCAGACTATGACTACCTTATCAACATGTTCAAAGACTTGTTCAATCGAAAGGGATATGTGGATGATGGAGTTTTCGACTGGACTGGACGCAATGCTGTAAGTCAATCACCTCCACTTCAACAGAAGGCAGGTGCCTGCAGTCCTGATTCCCAATCCTGCTCTTCCTCCCCTGATATCAATCCCAACCCAATCCACCTGTGCTTATCAAGGAATTATGATCAACCACAAGAAAACCTGAAATTCTTCTTGGCCCTGGATGACTCATCTAGTTCAGAAGATCATATCCTCAAGTCCTTTGCAGAGTTATGCTGCAATAGGATTCGTGGGTGATATTGGATGTGATGCACCCTTGGAGTTAATCTCTGTTCCATCCTCACTTCATTCATTTAATTTCTCACCTGCTTGAGCATATAATCCATGCAGGAAGCATAAATATCTATTCTTTGTGAGGGCCTATATACATTTTTTCTTGCGCCAAGCAGAACATTTTTTTCATCACTTATTGCTTTTTCCCTCATGTCTGAAGCCATTGGGTTTCATCGCATTGCGGATGCTTCATCGTGTCCTGCCTTCATGGCCTAAGAAAGCCAAGTCTGAAAAGGTATGGAAGGTGATACATCACCTATTGTCTGTGATAGCCAAAGTCAGTCACTTCTGATGTGAATTTACATCACCATTGAACAATGTTCAACTTGGCACTTGTCTTAGTGCCCTTGTAAGTGGTTGTGAACCTGTCCTTACCTCCTTCCCCTGCCTAGTTGGTATTTTACTGGATTTATGCATAATTCCATAGTATGCTGAGGAAAATGCTAGTGGTAGAAATGTATAAGGAGGCATTGAAGATTGCTTAGACCCTACTCACCCTTCACTTGTGGGCTTCTTCAGTGTCATGTTTTCCTCAGACAGGGACACACTGATATCATAGAATTCAAGTCAACTCTATTTCAGAAATCTGCATTTCTTTTACCTTTCATTAAATGGCTTCATGTAAATGTCCAAAATCTAACTGATGACTTAGGTCTGCCTTTAATTCATTTCCATGCTGATTCTTCCATGGACATGAATATCAGCTTATATGGAATAATGCATAGGAACCATTCCACATACAATTCACTTTGCAAGCTCTGGTGCATCTGGTGCTAGTACACATTTTTTGGCCCACACACATCCTGGCCTACATTGTGCATATAGGCCTATTTGTACAGGTGCTTACCCAGTTGTTTCTTAATGGATTTAACCCTATAGATTTCTAACTATTGGTATAGCATTCATATTGGATTGTTTCAATAGATTGAAACAGAGACTACCCTGGCATGTAACTGTGGTAGTGGTATGCTATCTCAGTTACACTGAGATTGCACTCCCTGCTAGTGCTCTGATGTTGAGTTTGACTTATTTGTGATGTGTTGCACTGGTATAGTGTCTTTGCAACTTACCATGCAGGAAAATGGAAATTTTCTGGTTGCACAAGTGCATCAATTATCACAATGAATTGGTGCATGGGTATAGGTATTTTATCACTGACATGATCAAGTGCCTCTCATTGCAGTGTGGATAAGATTACTTCACCTAAGACTGACTAGGGTTCTTTTGGACAACACTTGTGCAGCTTATTATACTATGTCCTTAATCCACTGACATTTGAGGGAACTACAGGTACCAAATCAACAGTTGTTCATCCACTTGACAGAGTCTCATTGATGCTGCAGAGCCTAACCAGACTTGAGATGGTGTATGAGCTTGAACACTCATGACCCTACACTGTTACAATGAAAAATTCTATATTCTACAGCAGAGGTGGAAAACGTTCTGCTTTTCAGTAACCATGGTTTACCTTCCCAGTTTAGCAGGTTTGTGAAGTGACCCTATGTTTGGGGGGCTGAGCAGAGGCAAATGGGAGGGGAGGGGGGGGGCTTGTGAAGAGATCAATTTTAAGTCACCGCTTCTAATTCAATGAAAATGCCTATGTGTAGGCCCCTAGCAGGATCTAATGGGAAGTGCACAGAGGGACATAGTCATTCAGAAGACTTCAACTTGTATGCCTGCTGCGTTCTTCATAAGAAATGCAAGCTACTTCTTCCTCCAAAAAGGAGATCAAGAGCTTGAACTATGAGCTCTTTGGCTTGCCAAAGGGTTCAATTAGGGCACTTTGTTGCTTGACACCAACAGATATTCTCTCTGTGACAGGATGCATATGAGTTGACAAGACATACAGATTCTTACATACCAGGAGGTCTGGCAAAGGGTAACGTGCATGAGGTGCAGAATTGAGAGAACAGAATGAAATTAGAGGGTGCTCCAATGAGGGATGGAGATCAGTGTATGAACCATGAGGCCAAATAAGGTCACTTGAAAAATAGGCACAAAGGTTGTTAATACTAATAATATTATTCTTCATATTAATCTGTCAGCCGAAAGCCAGATGACATGACTGTTCTATCTACAGACTGACCTATCATGATAGCTACCATGTAATAGGCTATCAAGTGTTAGGTTCTTGCATACAAGCCATCACGTCTCACTGATTAATCTAATGTGAAACCTGACGAGTCAAAGGACGAAATTTGCAGGCCTAAGTAGCTTTGGAAAATGAAATCTTGTTTTAAAAAAGAGTGTATTTCATACCATGCAAACCATGTGAGTCACAGTTAATATTTGTTAGTTAATATCACAGTTAATGCTGTGGTAGGTCACACCTCATACAATTACCCAAAAATGTATGGGCTGCACATTAACCCTTCCCTTGGTGTTGACATATTTTGACACCCAGGAGAACTCAATGCCTCTCCTGAAGGAGGTTGGAGATCTAAATTTCCATCTGATGGGGAAAGGTTTAAGTGCAGTGTGCAGCAGGGGAGAATTGGATTGGGTCAGCCATATTGGTATCGGCCTATACCAATCCTGGCCAACCCACTTGGCATTAGCCTTAACTGATACAAAGTGTCAGTATTAGTACATCCAAATTCTTTATTTGGTATACTCTGATCTCCACTAGATGATGATTGTGTTGAAATCCTGCATTGGTAAGGTATCAATGCAGCTAATGGTATTTGTTTTCATGGCAACTTTAAGATTGTTATTGCTTCCACCAATGACTTAGTGGAAATGTGGGAATAAACCTAAATGAGAGGATGAGATGTAGTGATGACTAGTGAAGATTGATATTTGTCTTGCTGACAGAGCACTCCAGTGGGTTCCACCACAACCACTGCAGAGAGTGTCCCTCTCCCTAGAGATCGGCACCCAACCTCCAAGGTAAGAGCCTTCATCATCTTGCATGCAAGATGACTTAACTTGGAATCTTTATCAGCATATCTGAGGTGCCTGAGTTGCTTGCATTGCATGATGAATGAATTGTTTTGAAGGATGAAGAATCCTTTGGCATGGAACTCTCATCTCTGGCTTTCAGAAACATGCTTGATGTGAGTCCCTTGTCTGTCCTGTCATGTGTTTTGCTTTTTTTGTTTCCTGTTGTCTGTCTTGTCATTTTTTTCTCACTTTATTTATGCAATGTCCTGTCTGTGTCAATCTTTCTTTCATGTGATCCCTCATCACTGCAGATGGAGTTTGAATGGATTGGTATTATATATTCTTTTTCCCTTTTCTTACCATGTGCTTTTGAATGGTCTTTCAAGGGGATGCAGTCATATTGAGTGTGAAAAGTGAAGGAATTCTTGAGTGAGCATATCCTGTCTCCTCATCTCAGTATTCCATTGTCTTTCCCATTTTAGCCAACTTGAATACCTACCCAAGAAAATTGAATTCCTTTCTGTCTCATAATACTCTTGTTATTACCTATTACATTTCCCCTTAATTGCATGCTAATTACACAAAATTGTCATTTATTGCTGATACCTCTGAGAGACACCAGGTAAATCCCATAAAAATAAAAGCTTGCTTGGGAAGGAGAATAAGACAAATATTTTTAACTAGCAACTTAGCTCAAATTGAAAGATGCAGTCTAATTAAATGTTCTCCTCCTGGGAAGGGGAGTGTGAACACCCATTGCGATGCTGTCATTTGGCAATCATATGTGTAAGGAGAGCCCTTTAGGCATGTCATTCTGCAGTGCCAGTTTTTTGGAGTGTATATATATACCCATATCACACAGAGCATGATCTTCAGGGTGGTGGAGTCCTTTTTTGGTACAAATGGTAACTTTCAATATGCCTTCCAATTGTGAGTGTCAGCCATGGGATAGTGTTCCAGGTCCCTTTCCAACATTCTTTTGTTAATGTTGAAGGTGTTTGGCACATGGAAAGCCTAGTTCTCAACAATTTGATTATAAACAAAAGTGAGGCTATGATGAAGGTGATGAGGAGAAAGCCATTTTTGGGGGTGCTTTTGAATTCATGTGGCTTCATCAGTGGACATGTAGAGCTTATGTTTCAATAGGATTGACTGTAATTTTTTTTTTAACTTTCAGATCTGTCAATTGGTATTTTTCCTGGGTGCATTGGAAATTTCCTGAATCTTTCCATGGAACTGGAAAACTCAAACTATTTGCATAATATGCCTCAAGAAACTTGTGTTTTTGCACTTTATTAATTTTCCAAAGGAGACTAAAATTAAGCCTGTGTGCTTTTAAATTTGGCCTCCTAGAAATTACAGCATGGAGTGAGGACCAAGTCTTCCATAGGAAAGAAAGCTAACCCTCTGTATTCTGCAGGTTTGTGTAAGTCAGTGGCATATGTTCATCTCACTTTGAAAAGTATCCACTGCAAGTTGATCCATAAATAACCCCAGCAAGCAGCAGTCTGAGAGCATTCATTCTCCTGCACACTTGGGAACATACAGTGAATTCATGAAATGTCACTGCACTGAACGAAATTGGAATATCTCCACAATAGATGGAAAGATGTACGTGAAATTTGAATAATGACTCAAGACAACATGGAATTTTTAAAACTATGAGGGGAGGTGCAAAAGTTGTGAGACTTGTGCTTTTATTGTCTATCTTTTGACAAATGGATCCACAGATGGGGGAAATGTGTATCAACACAGGGAGACTATGTTGAGGAATAAAGAAATGCGGATTGGACTTTATTTACACAAAGGTGTAAATCAAGTCCTGTCTGCATATTTCACTAATTTTGCACCTCCCCTCATAATTTTGCAGGATAGGGAAAGCTAATTTGCATCAATTTACATTTTGTTACAGTTAGGGTAGGAAGGTTGCTGAGTCCCCACCAGATGAGCAGATGAAGTAGCTTGTGTAACAGTGGCTTGTGTGACCTGTTATTATGAAATGGGTCCAGATATGATTAGTTCAATACAGGCATTCCCTATAGAGAATGGAATGTGTATTCGGCTCTGTGCAGTTGGTCAATGAACATTGGCAATCCTCATCAAGCACTCTACCAAAAAGAATTGTTCAGGACAGCAAAAGAAATGGTTGACCTGGAACACATTTATAGTTTGCAACAGAGGTTAAAAAAAATAGGGGCAAGATTTGTCACTGTTGGAGCCACATTATTAATGCTGCACCTCTATGGTTGTAGTGTCAGAGTGCTGGATGAGAATTGTCAACATCTGTTGACTGGTCAGTCAAGGCCCAGTTCAAACTCCATTCTCTGTGTAGTATGTCCACATTGCACCAGTCATACTGCATCCATTTGCATAACAGAGTACCCAAGCCTTTGTTAAACTAGTCATTTCATCTGCTCATCTGCTGGCAACTCTGTAACCTTCATACCTCAACCTGTAATGAGGTCCTGTTTTGTTTTCACATACCCAAAAAAATTTGTACAAAAAAAAAACTTTTTCTTGATTTATAATGTTAAATTTCATGAAAATTTGTCCAGTCATGATGGAGATATTTTAATTTCATTTAGTGCTGTAACTTTCAGAACATTCTGTACATAAAATGGAATCACATCAAAAGCAAACAATGCCTATTCCAATTAATTTCCTACATTGCTCAGAATCAATTTCTTTCATGTGGAACCTTCTCTCCTGCTCATAAAAGTTGCAGCTTCCCTCACACTCCCTAAAGCCTTGTCAAATCCTAGTGCAACTGAGATTTTGCATCCTATGATTCTTTTAGTGAAGTCATCAATGATTGTTTTCATGAGTAGGAGTCAGATAGACCTTCCATGACAGCTGACAGTTCTTATTATACCATTTCCACATCTCACATTAAAAGTGAAGATTTGTCAGATGTTAATTTTGTTTCTCAGTTTTCATAATTTTTTATTATTTTTGGAAAGTGTCACTGAGGTAAGTATGAAAGGTCACAATCTGCAGAAAGTATGTAATAAAGGTTTATCTTAAAGATATGCACATATAGATTTCTACAGTCTCCAAAAGGCAAAATGTAGCCTCACAATTGAATCAACCCCTTCCAAACTTCAGGATGCAGGAGCAAACTGAATTTTTTTTGTATACCTTAGTGAAAGTTTAAAGCTCAATGTTTGCTACCATGTGTTGAAGTAGTTAGATGTTTTTTCCAGCTCCACACTCAATAAGTGGCATATCATGAAAGGATTCAGATCCAAGTAAAGCCCAATCTTTTGAATCTTGAAATAATTAGAAATTAATTTATTATCTATCACCATGGCAAACAGTCATGGTGATCATGAAGAAGGGAGGAAACTATATCTTTGACTTTTTTATTTCAGGAAAGAGGTAGAGCATGGCCAGAGACTCCACGTCAGCCGGGGGGGGCTAATACAGGGAACCTCACACCAGCCGACAGACATGGCTCCGTTCAGGTCTGGTTCATTTCTCTTCTGCAAATGTTACTTTCACTTTTAATGAATCAAAATTTAAGTTCTACCTTTGTGGTGCTAGTTTATCTGCCTTTCCTGTAATACAACCATTTCTCTTGAGCTGAGTAAAGCCATCTAAGTTTGGACACAATAAAATAGTTATAAAACAAAGTATTTGTGAGGTCACCCTCAGAAACAGCCCCAAGATGCAAAGAACTGTTTCTAAGGGAGAGCTCACCAATGCTTGGTTTTGTAATGATGTGCATGATCTAGTGGAGCAGGATTTTTAAAATTGAAAATTCATTATTTGCACTCGGAGATGAGACCTGAAAGTCTATGCTTTCACTATGCATTCCCCAATCATGCTCAAAGCTGCTGGATTGCTATCCTGCCACCTCTAAGCAATGTTATGTCTTTCCTGTTCCATTATTTACATCCCTTCCATCATCTAAGCTGAAATAAGAAATGTTTTTCCCTCTAGCTCGGGTGGATAGATGGTTGGATTAGCAATTCCTGAAATCTTCAGGAAGCAAGCAATGAACTTGATTGAGCATGTAAAAGGTCTGGGACTGCTAGTGTGAAAATAGAAGATTCATTTAAGGACTAATATTTGGCTGCATAACCATAATGGCAGGAAGTAATGGTGTCTCTCTTGCATTATAACTAAGGGAAAGAAAGGGCAAATGGATTTAGTGACTTAAAAGTGAACTATTTGCAGGTTGTGAGTAGCACTGTTGGGGATGTCCAGACAGATGACCCAACAGGCGATCACTCAAACACGCCCATTACTCAGGGCCCAAATGAGACTGATCGATCCATTGAGGAAAGGTAAGACTTGCTCCAATCATGCTCTTTTTTTCTGAGTGTGGAAAAGCATTCTATTTTGTGAAGAAAAAACAGAAGACATCATTCCAAAAAATATGAAACCTCATGTGAAGGTCTTTCTATAACTGACATTGTCTTTTGAGTTCCTGAGCTTAATCATGTATTGCACCTTACAGCTTCCTGAAATACCTGTTAAAATGCAATTGCTCTCTCATCAAATTGACTGATACAGGCATGCCTACATTTCCAGATGTTGAAACAAGTTCTTCCAAAAGGAAATCCTCAAGTTTGTCTATTCTGGACAATTTTCTTCAGCACCTTAAAAAAGCACATGTGCAATAGAAAATTGAACAAGAGAGCAATTATGTTTAGGAGGTATCATATAAAGCCAAAAGGTGCAATATGGTAACTAAGTCATCAACTCACCAGAATGTTGCAAGGTTCAAGACAGAACAAGTGACTTTGGTACTGTCATATGTATAATTGTTACTTTTTCTGAACCAATCAGTCAAACAGTTGGGAGAAAAACCTTTTTAGTTGTTCATTAATATAGTTGCTTGAATTTTGGACTGAGTATTAGAGGGAGATGATAGCAAAGCATGGCATTTCATACATTCATAGCATGGTTGAAACACTTAACACTGGGTCCCACAGTGCGCTGGGTCTCAAGTTCCTCCCTCTCTTCCTCATCTCAGTCAATATGCCAGGCTGTGCAGTTTACAGGTGTAAAAATACTTCTCAGAAGACTAAAGGCAACATTGGTGACAGTGGAAAACCTATTTACTACCTTCGTTTCCCAAAGAATGCTGAAGAAAGGAGCTGCTGGATTAATGCCTGCAGAAGAAATGCTTATTTCGACCCAGACAAGTCCAGAATTTGCTCTATCCACTTCCAAGGAAATTACTTCAGGTGGAACCTCAGGTGTTCCATGTTACAGTATTCTCCAGATAATTCTCTGAAGCTGTGGCAAGATTTTTTTCCTCTTCTCCATCTGCCATGTTCTTTGAATAAAGGGGCCATTGGCTCAGAGGGAGACCAGCATCATGAAGTAAGATGGAGGAAAAGACTGGTGCATGAACTCCTCCAACCAAGCTCATCCCTTTGAGAGGTTGAGTCACCAGTCCAAGAGAAAGAAAAAGAAAGTTATGATGAAAGAGGATGTGCTCCCAGAGAAACAATTGCATTATTGATTAAGAGAATTGAAGAAGTGGAAATTGAAAACTCTATTCTGAAAAAGTATACAACTGTCAGTACAATGCTAACAGGAGAAAGGCTTAAAATTATAAACTTTGATGAGATGAGGGTTTGTCAAAACTATTCTTATGACCATGCACTCAATCAGCTGTTTCTGGCATACAGGAACGTTGAAGTAGCAGTGGCTCGAGGTCTCCTTGGCAGGTGGAAGCAACCTATATTTTATGCATTTGACAAACTGATAGATGCTGCCACAATTTCACTTGTTATTCATAAATTGAAGTTCGCTGGTTATCCGATTGTAGGAATCGTTTGCGATTTGGGTGGAAGAAACAGATGCCTGTGGTATGAGCTCAGAGTTTCCACTCGAAGCACCAAAATTCAAAATCCAGTGGATCCTTCTCGCTTCATTTATGTGTTTGCCGATGTACCTCACCTTCTGAAATTGACGAGAAACGACGTCCTATACCACAGCATCACATACAAGGGCAAGATCATCAATAGAGAACTTGTGGATGAATTATTCGAACTCTGTTCTAGAGGAGACTTCAAGTTGGCCCATAAATTATCTCCAATGCATCTTCATCCATCAAGCACTGGGAAGCAGCGTGTGTACTTGGCAGCCCAGATTCTCTGATACTGTGGCTTACGCTCTGGACTATTGCGGAAACTTGGGATCGTTTGAAATCTCCAATTCGGAAGGAAACAGCATTGTAGATAGATGGTTTGACGTGTACAATTCTCAATTGCCCAGAGGGGATGACAAAGATCTTAGAAATGCCTATGGGACTAGCAAAGCTGAGCAAGATCAAGCACTCCAGCAATTGTAAAGAAATGAAGATTGGCAACCGGAAAAAGCTACTGCCTTTCCATATTGGAATTTTGGTCACGATTTCCTTTATTCTAGGTCTGTGAGATTTCGTGCAAGAAAATTCCAAATTCCAATACATCATGACCAGAAGATTGAGTTGGGTTGTTCTTGAGAATTTTTACTCAAGAATTAAGGAAATGGGACGTAAGTTCGATCACCGCCTGATTTTCGCAACCGGATGAAACTCTATATACTCGAGTTCTCTCCAGAAACGTTGTCATAGATCCCCCGACGAAACAAGAACGTACCCCCAGCCAGACTGGGGAATCCCAGGAAATGCATATCTCCTGGATGCCAAGGAAATATTATCTGCCCCTAACTAGTAATCAGATAGCTGTTGCTTATTTGGCCTACTCCTTCGAAAATTGAACGAAGAGAACGGGGATTGCAGTACAGATCAGAATCCAGAAGAAATTGAGGCCAGAAATGTGCTTTTTATGATTACATGATTCAAGGAGAAGGTTTGCGTTACGTCGCTGGATTCATTTGCTTTGAAGTTTCTCAAGAAATATCCAGGACTTGGATCTCACACAGCACTCGTTCTGGGGAAAACAGGAACACCTGACATTGGTGAGGAAGAAATCGTGAGATTGACTCGTGGAGCCCCCTGAATCATTCCTTGATCATGTTATGTTGATGGAGTCTGTGTTTCAATGCTTGGAGAATTAAGATACTTTCTGGAAACCGGGAATCACGTCGAAACTTACAAATGCATTTGTGCAGGAGATCCCTGACATAACTGCTCCTGTAGCTCGACGCTTCGCAAGGACGCAATTCTTTCTCAACATTCGAGAAAGAAACAAAGAACTCACCGATCTCTCGAGACGATGGAAGGAAGAGGAAGAAATTTAAGAAACTGCAGCATTAATTTGGCATTGTGCTCGTTCCTCCAAGTGTTACAGATAAAATCATAGGTTTTAGCATGCCATTTTCAATCCGAGACATGCTAGACCAGGGGTGCCCAACTGGACCGCATGATCTAAGTTATTTTTTAAATATTAATAATACACTTCTCTTTGATTAAGTCACAGAAAAAGTGCAGACTAGTTTTTCAAATTTCGGGAAGCGCCGCGGGCTGTAGGTTAGACACCCCTGTACTAGACTCAATATCACTCGTCTAGGAAGCGGGGGCGTAGCCAGGATTTCACCAATGGGGAAGCCCAGCGGAACGGTGGGGGGGGGGGGAAGCGGATGCGTTTTGACCAGAGTTGGGGGCTTGAACCAAACGCTACGCCACTGCTAGAAAGTTGTTAAGTATTTGGAAGAAAGGGAGCGGGTGAGACAGAAGGAGCTCGCGTGCGAGCGAGTGCTCACATGACGTCATGCGCAGGATGGGCCTATTCTGGTTCTCCGCATTGCGGGACCTGACCGTGATTCCTTGCTTTCATATTCGATATCTTTATTGGATTGAATCTAGAAGCTTATACTTGTTTATTTTTCATTTTTGCAGCTGCTGTTGTTTCTTCAAGCGAACGAAGCGGAAGAGAGCAAACCAGGCCAGAAACAAGTGATTCTAGCCCCCAGTACTTTTTTTTCACTTTTCTGTCATCTCTTGTCTTATAATTTATGGGACAAACCCTTCACTAAGGTTTTTTTTTTCTTTGTGTACTTGAGTCTTCTCATGCCCTGCCCCCCTTTTTATCTGAGTGTCCCCACGATCGTGCCCCTAGCAGCAATTAGAAAGAGAACTGTTTTTTCCTTTTGATTCTATTATATCTGTGATATAAATCCACTTATATTTGTATTTGCCCCGAGATGGGACGACGTGTGCTTGAGTCCCAGTGCAAGTTGGGAGGCAGGGCAGAGAGAGCACAGACCATTTGTGTGTTTGCAAATCCGGACGACGGCCCACAAAAATGTGATATCAGCGTCAACGGGAAAGTGCGATCCTCTCCTCTCATCTCTCCATCTGTCTCTCTGTCCCAGTTGCCAAATTGCTGCAGTTGCCTTTGTTTTGTTGGATTCCCTTCACAGTAGGCCTATATCTTGCCATGTCTTGATTCTTGGGCCACTGCAGGGGTAGGGGGGTAAGAAGGAAGTATTGAGATTTCTGACAAATAGGGACATCGCAGGGGTAAGGATTCTGTTCTTGTGGACGCTGTGTTCCTTTCCTCTGGGAGATCTCATTCTAGGCTAAGGGATTAGGCAGTATTTCCCCCCTTTTTGCTCATCTATTGAGAAATTGATGTATAATGGTAACAAGTGGAAGGGATGGTGTTCTTTGAGCTACATGTTGACATCCCATGAATGTTCCAACCGTCGAACGGTGGGAGAGAAAAAAGAGGCCATTTTGACTCTGTACATAAGGTGATCATTGTCTTTGTGATTCGCAGAGGATCCACAATAAAAGAGAACGACACTTGTGATGCTATTTGATGGGATTTCTTCTTCCCCCAGGACATGGTGGAACCTGCTCATCGATAAGCATGGTTGAGGCCACTCCCTTCACCAGACTTCTGAATCAAATCATTTCAGCGCCACACAAGGCATTCAGACTTTTAATAGAATTAAAGAGCAGGTTGCTCGGAGTGCATTACAAAATGCGTCTTGACACTGAGGAAGCTAATTCTAATAACGTGTTTCTTTCATAATAGTGGGTTTTATCAAATCTTCTCCTTCAATGAATGCAATCACATTTTGAGCTTAAACCCCTACAAATCATTTCTTTGTTCAGAGTTTTCAAAGGGCAGAGAGTTAAAAGTGTTTCTGTTCAGAAATTACAGTCAGATTTCATTAATCCAGACTTCAGGTAGCTGGCAATTTTATCTGCTCTTCCAGATGATTAAAAAGCTGTTCTTTATTTTCTGATGAGGAAAAGTGCACTACTCGTGCATAACAATATGCCATCAATTATATCCATCCTTCCTAACAGACTCAGTTCTTTCAACCAATTTACATTTAAGAATTCCTCGGTTTTTTTTTTAGATTCACAAAGCAACATTTGTGTGCCAGATTGCACCAAGAATGCATTTATAAAAGAGAGATAAGATACTTTTTATGGCTCTAATGATAAGGATGATTAAGACAGAGGAAAGAAGGGAGATAACTGCCAAGTGAGCAAGTGAGAAAGAAATTCACAATGATGAAGGCAATAACCATTAACCAACTCAAGAAAAGGTTTTGATCGTCTCGTTCTAATTTCTGAGGAGAGGAAAGTGATGGTGTGGGAAAGGGATAAGAAACACATTTTTAGGTAGCTTTTCGTCTCTTCAGCTGTCAATCCCAGATTAACATGGAAATTGACCCAAAGGGTTAGAGAATCTCCATGTAAGTAGGAACTACTGAAAAAGAACAAATTTTATCGGAATTGTTTGAAGGACTCGACAGAGAGGGGGTGGGAGCAGGTGGGAGGTCGGCAGGAAGAGCTCAGGCCGTGTTGAAGGGGAGAGGGAAAACGCGGACTCTTGTAATCGTCGGTGACTCGAACGTCAGGCATCTTTTGGCAGTGATGGGAAAAGATTCTGGAGTTCGGGTTTATTTCAGTCTGTTCCCCGGTGCGAGGATTGAACACGTTAGGGATCGGGTTAGGTCGGATCGGTAGTGTGCTCCGAGTCGACCATGTCGGTGATCCTTCACGTTGGGACCAACGACACCCTCGAGTCTGGCTCTGAACTCATCGTGGGCAGGTTGAGGCAGGCTATTAGGGCGGGTGACGGTATGCGCGATCTCGGCGCGCGTTGCGGGTATTTCCATCACCGAGGAGATCATGAGTATGATGAGGAAGTTAAAGGTGGACATGGCGACCGGCCCCGATGCGATTCCTGCTCGAGTCGAGGAACACGCGAGAGAAATATCGGTTCCGCTGAGAATCGTATCTGTAGGCAGCTTTTCGCGCAGTGAAGTACCTAAGGACTGGAGGCTAGCGAACGTCGTACCGATCTTTAAGAAGGGTGTAAAGAGTAATCCGGAGAATTACAGGCCGGTAGGTCTCAGGTATTCCGGGGAAGATCATGGAGAGCATCCTAAGAGACCGCACTTGGGATTTCCTCGGAGACGCGCTCATCCAGGACTCGGCACGGCTTTAGGAGGCGTCGAAATCGTCTCACCGATTTGCTCGAATTCTACGATCGGGCGACGGAACAGAGACGGGAGAATCCCGTGAACATCGTCTATTTAGATATGGCGGAAGCTTTCGATACCGTTCCTCGCGAGAGGTTGCGGGTTAAACTGGAGGCGCACGGGATCCAGGGTAGGACGAGCGAGTGAATCTATAACAGGTCGAGGGGAAGAGATGAACGAGTGATGTCAAATGGGGAAGCGTCGACGGAGGTCGGACGAGCGAGCGAGCGGTGTCCCGAGGGGCGAGGTCAAACGACTGCTTCTGTTTTTGGTCGAACGATTTAGATCTATGCGCAGAGGGTAAAACTAGTAAATTTGCCGCCGGCACCAAAATAGGTTTTTCTGTAAGGAGGAAGGTCAACCCCGAGCGAGATTTGAGGCTTATGAAAAAGTGAAACAATAAATGGCTCATGAGGGTTAATAAAAGTGAATGTAAAGTTCTCCACGTCGGTCAAAATAACGGTAGGACTCTCGACGCGTTTGTCGTAGATAAGAGGCAGAGAGAGAGATTACGGAGTTTCTATCGACGAAGACCCAAGTTTTCCTCACGCGCAAGCGACGGTGGCTAAATGTAACAGGATTCTAGGATTCATCCATCGCTCAGTTGCCAGTAGGAACCCGTGCGTTGTTATTCCGTTGTATGCGGCGTTGGTAGGATTCCCAGTTGGAATATTGCATCCAGTTTTGGAGACCTTCAAATCGGGGTGAATTGTTGGCGCTCGAGGGAGTATAGAGGAGGGCCACGAGAACGATAAAGGAGGTTGGGGGCCTTCGCACGAGAAGCGTTTAGAAGTGTTGGGACTGTACAGTACTCGCTCGAGAGAAGGTTAAGGAGGGGCGATCTCATCCAGGCTTTCACGATCATTTAAGGAATAGGTCATGTCGAGCGTGGTAGGTCTTCCAGTTCGATAGCAGCAAGAGAACGAGAGGTAATCGACTCGAGCGGCCCTGGTCGAGACAGGGGTGTCTTCCACTTTCACCCTCGAGACTTAACTGGAAAATAGTTGCTACATTTTCCCTTTTATTTCATCTCGATTAACGGGGGCGAGAGTGCACAGGGGCGACTTTCCAAACATTGGTTTCGTATCTGATTACGTCTGCCGCAACCCTTTAAAAGGGAAGGTAGGATTAACAACTTCCAGTTTCACTTTCCCACCCTGTGTAAGATGGATACTGAAAATGACTTGGAGTGAATAGAAACTATAGTCCCTCATGGATTCAGAAATCATTGTTCTTACGAAAAATCTTATGTAGCAGTCAAATGATGGTGGTATAAAGCAGGGGTGTCAAACTGGCCCACCAGTCCATTTTGTCCGGCCCGCGAAGTCCTTTTCAACAGTTGGTTACGTACTGCAAATTTCAGCCTGTTTGCATTTGATTTGTTGTTCGATTTTTGCTGTGGCCCCTAATCACCTCGGAAGGCTTCCATCCGGCCCCAAGTCTAATCGAGTTTGACACCCCTGGTATAAAATAGCATTCTTAGATCATACGGCTGAAAAAATTTTCATCTGAACGAAGTGCTTCCGAAGGAACAGGTGGTCTACACAAATGACGCTACATAATATAGGGCTGTGTCATATGTCGGATCGATCTCCTTTGTCCGAAAGAAATAGATTCTGGAGACGGTGAATCCTCACCTTCCAGTCCCTGCGTTTCTTTTTCATCCTCATCCTGGCATCCCCAGTGTCCAGCACGACCAGCCGCGATTCCATGTGCGATTCTTCCTTCTAAATCAAAGCCACGAGTTCGAAAATGCTTAGGTGGCTATTCTGGGCATGTATCCGTCTCACACAGGGAGGGATAGTGAAACTGGGAGTTGACCTTGCCTTCCCCTTTTAAAGGTTAAGGCTGATGTGGGTATCAGACGTGAAAATCAGGCATGGAAAGTCGCCCCTGTGCACTTTCACCCCGACCGTGTGTACGTCGAAGATCACATCTTGTGATTCTTGTCGATCGGAATGCGGGGGCGAGAGACAGGACTTCCTTACTTGTAGGGTGCTGAACGCGTTAATGACGACGTAGTGGCTATTCCTTCCCTCCCTTTCCCCATTTTAAAGAAGAGACTACATGCTTTTATGGACAAAGCAAAAAGGGGGGGCAATGTAAACAAAAGGGACAAGGCAGTAAGCGAGTAGGATATGCAAATAAAAGAAACAAATATATGTATTTAGCTTTAAGGAGTAGACCTATCCTAATATGGAACGCTCGTCCTCGACACGTGATATCCAAATAGGCGTTTTCGCCTTCTGATACCACTATCCAGCCTTGATAACTTGAACATTCTTGAACAGATTGTGCATGACATAGTAGAGAGAGTTTATATTGCCGATTCATACCGAGGAGCATACTCATTCGTATCCGTCAAAAAGTCATCGCATACAGTAGACACTGAACGACTAAAGTGGTTCTTTCCAAGCCGAAGAAGGAAAAGGGACTCCGCCTTCACCGTCTGGTTTCTTGATATTTCTCATTCCGTTCCTCGTGGGGGAATGCGAATTGTCTGCTCATCGCGTCCGTGAGGGAGGTTCTTCCTTTTTAGCACAAGGGTCAGAATCGAGCTGATTTGGTGCATGAGATAGGAAAATGGTATGTGGGTCGGAGGGAAAAGGAAGTCGTTTTCCTCATTTGTCACTTGAGTGTGAAATTCTTTTTCTTGCAACCCAGTGTGACGAGGAAGTTGGACGTGTGAGGCTCCGCGACATCGATTGTATTATTCTGACAGCCTCTCATAAATTGCTTCATTCATTGCTTATTTGGATGTCACTTGTTCTTGCGTCATGTTGCCCGATCTAAGTTGGCATCAAGGTTTCTCCTTGTTTTAGAGTCGATCTTCGGAGCTTCAACGAGAAAGGCAACAGAACGAATAAGCCATTTCTTTTGCAGCCAAATTTTGCCTTCGTATCTACCGTAAAACGGAATAGACATGATAACCGAAAAATGACGAGAAGTGGAATCTTCTTCGGCGGCTATCTTGAGGATGAGAGTATCCGCATCGAAAACCTCCGCGCAAATCAGTCCATATATCATAATCTGCATGGATTTCCTCTTTTTTTTTTTTTTTTTTTAAAGGACGGGGGGGGGGGGGGGGC